TCTTGACAATTATTAATTATATATAATACATTTTATTATTAAAGTAATAATAATATTAACCTTTAAATAGTAATTTAAATAATATAACTGTATATTATTATTTTTAAATTATTATATAACAACTATTGTCAAAGTTGAATAATTTAATATATATATATTATATTAAATTAGAACAAACACTTGTAACTTGTAGACGGTTAATTGAATTAAAATTTACATTTCTCTTCTAGGAGATACTACCTATATTACCTAGTTCATTTGTCTGGGGCAGGATCTTTGCCAAATACCAGTCCAGCTGCAAATACGCGATACACACATAGGACCTTTGTTACTAGGATTTGTGGTGATTTAATTTATGCAATGCTAGTTTTGAGATAAATTATTTATTAAGATATGTACACTGGTTATTGATTATGTTATACGTATGCATATTATTTAGAATATAATTTTATTATTCATTAATAATATCTACAAATTATATGTAAGACACACATTAAGTAGGCTCCTAGAACTATCTGTGATGTAGTTGTCTAGAGTTTTTAAAATAATTTCGTTGAAATAAATGTCAATGTTCTTATAAAAATACATTTCAAGTGTGGGCAGGTACCTATACGTTATAATTAAACAAAAAGTTATAAATTGAACATATTATTTTTAGTAAATAATTAATGCAGAACAAAAATGTAAATGCATAAGACTATAAATTAAAATAGTATTGAACAACAATAAGCTTAACTCTTATACTTTGAATAGTGAGAATTGGGTAAAATACTTTTTAAAAGTATTTCAAATACATATTCCGAATACTATAAAAAAAAGTATTCAGAATATGTATTCGAATACTTTGTGATAATAATATTCCTAAGTATTTGGAATACTTTACAAAAAGTATTCCAAATATTTTTCGAATACTTTTCTTCAGTAGATATAGATTTCAATAGCAAAAATATTATTCTTTCAATTCTGCGTTTATAAATGAACATTATTATAACCTCGATAATACACACCTATCTGAGTATACCTATATAAGATCTCATAACACCAACTATTGTACCTAAATAATTATGATACAATAATGTCAAACAATATAATACTTTTAAACCGTTTATTTCAACATATTTATTTATTATTTTATAAACTGAAAAAAAAAATAATGATCAACATTATAGTATTATACTAATATAACTATTAACTACACAACATTACAACTGTTCAACTACTTTAAGCCAATGACCAAATTTAAGCTTATTAAATAATAATAGTAAATAGTATTAATAAAAAAGAATTGCTCTGATAAAACACAATAAAAAAAAAAACATACTGTTAATTAATAGTTAATCATAATAATATTATAGTTAATATCATTATAAAAAGTAATAAAATAGTCAACTAATACTATAAACCAATAGCCAAGTTGTAGTGGATTAAGTAATAATAATAATAATAAAAAAAATTACAACGTTGACATCATAATAATAATAGGTAAATATATTTTATAATATTTAAAAGTTAATACTGTATATTATTTTATATTAATGATTTATTACACTTTAACATTAATACATTTTCAAAATTTTTATCATTCATTCTACCTCTTTTTTAGATAAAACAGCACCACTAATACTAAATATGCGTTCCATAGCAGCACTGCTAGGAAGTGGTGTGTTAAATTTTAAAAATACTTTTTTAACTGTGGGCATTTCATTCAATATATTAAGATTTTTTGTAGGACTTTTTGACAAATACCTTGTTATTTCTTGTTCTAATGATAGATCCACTTTTGATTTATTTTCAGACCAGTTAAAGTAATTATTTGGATCATCACTCATATTGCTATCAGATATCTCAGATTCAGGCAAATTTGATTGTTCAAACATTTCTAAACAAGATTTTTTAAAAAATGATAATGCCTTATCTTTTTTATCATTGTCGGTTAGCCAGATGGTTTTAAAAAACGGATGTGAAACCGTTGCAGATAATAAAAACGGATCAGTCAAAAAAATTTCGAAACGTTTTTCCACGTTTGCTTTTATCAAACTAACTTAAGAATCACAATAAACTAAATTTTTTTTAGCGATATCATCATATTTTTGTAAGAGTATTGTAATAGAAGGCAACAAAAACCCAAAATACATATTTTTTTCCCCTTGCAACACATCAAGGCAAATGCACAATGGTTCCATAACTACAACATACTCTTCTAAAAATTCTAAATCATTTTTGGAAAACCGATTTAATTTTATAGCATCACACACTTTAGTGAACTTGGAAGGACTGTTTTTAAAATGCAAAAGAAGAAATTTTGATGAATCAAACCAACAGTTCCAACGTGTTTGATTAGGAGTTTTTAAATAAACGCCCAAATTCATTTTAATTATATCAGCTATTTGAGATGAACGGTTCTGCTTATTCCATAATGCTTGGCATTTTGAAAATGTGAGTCTACTTTGTTTTCTGTAGTTTAACATAGATGGTCTTTTGGAAACATTAGGCGATAAAGCTTTTTCAATATCCTAAAATTAAAAATTGTAAATGTCATAACAGAAAAAAATAAGATAAAGTAAATAAATAAATTTAAATGTATCTTACAGCTGTTGCTATTAGATTTAGAGTATGCGAAGCACATCTGTGATGCTTAGGTAGGTTATATACCATACAATCATCCCAATTGGATGTATATTCACCAATTAGTTCTCTGTTATCCAGAACTTGGGTAATAGATATACGAGAAAAACTAACATCTTCATCTTTTTCAGAATTAGCATCATCGTCAGTGTCTTCTTTGTTTTCATCATATTCCTCTTCAATTGAATCTTCTATAGAGTTTGAAGAATTTCTACATCTGTTTTCTTACTTCCATCTTGAACAATTTCAACAACTGACGATTGACCATATATTCTAAGGGAACAAAATAATCTTGATATAATATAAATTAGTTAGTTGAGTTAGTCACAACTATAGTAAAATGGTAAATATTTAAAAAATTAACATAAAAAAAATGCATACTAAGAGTTCATATTAATATTCTTTATGAATTATTAAAACCTTGATTTCATAATTATGAAATTTTTTAGATTCTGAGTGAAACGATGAATGTATTGATTTTACAATGATGTGTGTTTTTTTATTTTTTTTTATTTTTTTATTTTTTTTTGTGTCTGTCATCACGTTTTAGGACAGTAAAAGTGCTTGGATTTTCTTCATCAGTAGCTTTTCTGATAGGAAACTGAATCTAGTTGGTACTTTGGGGGGTCAAAAGTATAAATTTCCCAGTAGTTTTCACAAGCGCCGGGAAAAAACAACATAAAAATTAAGGAAAAACGGGAATTTTTACGCAAAATTGGTTTTCCAAAAAATCGATTTTGGTTTTTGGTGTAACTCTGAAACAAATGAACGTATATACATGAAATTTTCACTGGTTGTTTATATTTGCATTTTCTATACACGATAACATTTTCAAAATATTTTGATTTATTTTGAACTGTTTAGGGACATTTTCATTTTCCATTTTTTTTTAGTTTTTTTTCTAAAAATATCAATAAAATTTTATTTGTTGGTTGCGAAAGCTTGAAAATTTAATAGAAGGCTCCTAATATATTGCTTCAAAGGCAGATGAAAAATATTAAAAATCCTTAGTCACAATTTTTTTTTATAAGCATTTAAAGTTCAAAAATCGACAAAATATGGGAAAATCACGAAAATTAGCAAATTATTTTGAGTTAAGAATTCGTAAAAATTTTTCTTTTTAAATCTAAGATTTGAAAATTAAACACAAGATTCCTTATAAGTTTGTCTACCTTTATCAAAAAAAAAATGTTTATAAGAAAGTCAAATTAAATTTTTATGAGCGTTTGAAATTCAAATTTTTACAACATTGAATATTCACTCGATTTCCCATGTAGCGATTTCCTTATTTTGTTGTAATTCAAAAACAAATAACTGTAGATACATGAAAATTTCACTGAATGTTTAAATTAGCATTTTCTATACACCATACAATTTTGAAAATATTTTGACTCTTTTTGAGCTGTTTATGGACATTTGCAGCTTTCAATTTTTTTTAGTTTTTTTTTCTATAAATATCAATAAAGTTTTATCTGTTGGGCCAAAAAGTGTAAAAATTTAATACAAGGCTCCTGATATATTGTTATAATATCAGTTGAAAAATATTAAAAATACATAGGCACAGTTTTTTTTTATAAGCATTTAAAGATCAAATTTTGACAAAATTTATCAAAATCTCGAAAATTATCAATCATTGTAATTAATAAATTATAAAATGTTCAGTTTTTATAGCTAAGGATTGCAAATTCAACACAAAGGTTCTCGTAAATAGTTCATACTGTAACCAAAAAATCTAAAAAATATATGAACACAGTTATTTTTTACAGACATTTTAAATTCAAATTTGGACGAAATTACATATTAAAAAACCTAGAATAACTATTTTAGTTATTTTGTTGTGATTGAATAATATTATTCGTGGATACTTGAAACTTCTAAAGTGTACTATTATATATCTATGACAGTATCACGGTTTTTGTTGATGTATAACGCTTTATAAGTACCTAATGGATATTTTGATATGATTAATTTGGAATTCATTATAGGTACCCATTATAGGTCAATTTTTTGTTTAATACCATAGATATGTATATAATATGTCTTATACATAGACTGACATACCGTCTGCGCTCAGAATCGTTTTTCTTATACAATGATATTATATCGTTGAATTCAAATTTAATATCATCCATTATACAGTGACCCACTTGTAACCTACTGTACAGCAGAGCGACACCCACTTGCCCACCTTTTTAGATATGAACATTGTGGACTTTGATAGAAATTCTGTTAGTATAACATATTATATAGGTAAGTTACTTCCCTACTGAATAAAATATATTATATATTTAGAAAAAAAAAAATGTTAAACCTTCAGTTCAAATTACCTATTTAATAGTAAAAATTTCTAAAATACAAATAAATAATAATAACTATTATAATTGCTCAAAGCATTTGACAAAATTAGAACCGTTGTCAGTTGTTGTATAGATAACTTTATCATTGATATTAAATTCAGTATAAATAGATTCCATAGTTCTTGCTAGCAAATCATAAGTATGGCTGCCCTTTAATCTTCTTATAGCCAATAAGCAAGACTCTCTCTCTAGTGATACTTGATTAATCCAATGACAAGTCATACCCAAATAGGATCTGAAAAAGAATATTTAAATTATAGATGCTATGAATTAGAAAATAATTTGTTTAAAATAACAAACCTTTTGAAAATAGTCCAACCATCAGCAGCGGTAGTTAAATAATTAACTTTGGAAAATATGCTTTTCATATCTTGTAAAAGGACTTGATGTTGAGCTTCTATATTTTTCATTAACGTCTTCCTTGATAACACATGACGATTAGGATATCCAGTTGTAATCAAATTTTTAAAATCAATCTGTTCTACCAAAATTAAATGGTAATGAAGCATTAATAATCAAATTTTGAATCATCAAATTTAACTCATCTAAAAATAATAATATGATTGATAATTGATATTGAGTGAAACAAGCAATAAATCCAATTTTGAGGAATAAATAAGAAAAACTATTATAAATGTCATTGTCAATATTTAGAGTAGGTAGGTAGTTGTTATCATATTCAAATGAGTTTTTTAAAATCTTGATCAGACAATTTAATCAATCACAACTCATTAAAAAACTTGATACACGTATATAGGCTATCTAGTGGCTAGTACCTATTACATTTAAAATATAAGATTAAGTTTATGTATTAGTATGATAAAATATAAGTTTAATATAAAATGAATAATGATTAATAAACATCTAACTTTATACTATAAAATTAATTTTTTTACAAAAATGCAGAAGACCAATCTTACTTTGAGAAACTGAAGAATTTCTTTTAGAAAAATCTAATATTGTCGTAACTTTGGTTTTTTTTTTCATTTATCTCCAATTTATGATTTGAATGGAAGTTCTCATTGATGCAGTCATGTGTTTTTCTTTTGAGTTTAGTTTGAACAAATTTTTCATTTTGTGATGTCCAAATATTTTTATGTTGCATCTAAACCAATAAAATACAAAACAAAATAGTAAGTAGTAACCTTTACAATTAAATCATAGTTTATTAATGTATATGTATTTAAATATACTTATAGGTACTATTAATAATTCAATTAATTTAAACAAAAATATATTACTATATTAGCTAACATACTTCTTCCAATTAAAATACTTGTAATTTTTTTCTGTACCATCTAAATTTATAGCTTATAATATAATAAAGGTACATAATATATAACAATATAATAATATTATATAATACATAACTATATTAAATTTATACTTTTTTAATTATATTAAAATTAGATACCTACTATATGGGGTTTTATGTAGAAATAGGCTTTTGCGTCTGGGAAAAAAATGTCAAATTATCGAAAAACGTTACTTAGGTTTTTTTATTTATGTACCAATAGTAAAAAGTATCCCTCAATCATAGCTTACGTAGTTGCATACCATAATTATTATGTATACCTATAAATATATTTTTTAATACAATTAAATAATGTATGTAGCTAGTAGGTACTTACCTCTAAGTGCTTTAATAAATTGGAACTAGTCCTTGTGTCTGCTGTCAGTAGTTTGGACGAAGCACAATATTTACAACGAACATTGAATTTTTGATACGTTTCAAAATCTTCTTTTAGATCAATTATTTTAAAAATGTTGTCATATTTTGACCAAGGTAGGCGATAGGTTTTACAAGTGCCATCAGTGATCGAAGATTGACCATCGTCAATTTCGTTCAAATCTGCCATTTTAATGTTTTTCGAATCAAACTTTACTTAAGAACAACGGAAAAGACGTATAACTGTATAAGGAATAAAATCAGTGTTGCAACAGAAGGGCTATGTCGACTAGTGGCGGTCTGTGCGGAAAGTTGCACACAAGTGACACAACACACACTCACACACGCACGAAATAATTTTGCTATCGCATATGGCATATTATATTATTAGCCATAAGTTTATTACTTATTATAGGGAAATCCCGAAATCATAATAATATCTTATCGCCTTCGCTGGCTCGTCGCTACAAAATTGGAAAATACGTAATAACATTACTGACCAACTAAAAATAGTAGAAAATAAATAAAATAATAATAATATAACATACAATTGATGTGTGTCGAAGACGGTGTACACACACAAACACAAAAAAAAGAAAAAGATCGACAATTGCTTTATAATATTTTGTATAGAAATAGTATACAAAAGCAATTTCTATGACGGAAAATTAATGAAATTATTTTTAAAATTTAATTGGAAAAAATTTATTCCGAATACTGTACTCGGAATACTTATAAAAGTATTCAAAATACTGGGTTGAATACTTTCAAAAAAAAGTACTTAAAAAGTATTCGGAATACTACCCAAGTCTAATGAATACAAAATACATGATAAGTTTAAGGAATTAAGTAAATCATAAAGATATAATATTGAGTAAAATGGTTCAACAATTGAATAAAAATGTGATATTTTCGAAAAGATAACTTGATAAAAATCTACTATAAATTTAAAAAACACATAAAGTTTAATATTCTTATCACATAAAAACATACTTCCGATACTGATAAACAATAGTCAATATTGTTTTTAAATAAATTAGTGTTAAGCATTTCATCTGATCTTAATATTTTATTATAAATAAAAATAATATATATACCTTATATCAAATAAATTAAAAACTGTTGAGAACATTTGTGGTTAATTAAAATTATTATTAAAATCGTATGTTAATAATAATTATATTCATCGACGACTTGAACTATATAACTATATAAGTTAGCGTTTATATTATGTTCGAATTCTACTTGACCCCCCCCCCCCTCTACACCTTTTTACATATTTTGAATCAATACACATATTATATAAATAATACCTAATACGAAAAATATTGTTATTATTCTGTGACTACCAAAGACACATTTTTATACTTACCTAATAATAGTAAAACATTAACATACATTATGCATACATAATATATTATATTGCACATATATAATTTTATAATGTGTATATGACTTAAGTACCTATAATGCACATAGACTATAAAGAATACCTACGTGTTAGAACGTTATCGCAGAGTCCTTAATTATAGTTGAGATAACGAACAAATCATAATTAACGAGAAACGTGTTAATTTTCCTGGATCGTAACATTAATTATATTGTAATTTGTCATTATGTGCTTAATATTATTATATTGCCGGTACGACAATATTATGCTCTACATATTATTATCTGATGGCAAGAAATCAAATTTAATACGATGCTGGTGCAAAAGTTTGTTATAACCGTGGTCACCGGTCACTGCTCGTGTTTATACGTAGGTATAGTTATTAGTCACCACGCGGTGACAAAAACTTTTCCGAGTACAATTTTTTCTCGAAAAAATAATGTGTTGATTGATACAAACTATTATTGAATAATTTATTTATCAAAATAATATTATCAATAGTAGCTATTATTATTTTTTCAGCCGATTCTGCATAATACTTTCTTTATCAGTGAAACGCAAATCAACAATAAAAAAATATCTCTAATTCTCCAATTTTCATTGCAGTATAAAATATTGAATAGCTATACTGCCTAATATCCTACAAACTTCACCGTCAAGGGTAGGTTAAGTGTTCTTGAATTTGTCTTCGTTAACATTTCAGATACATCATAATGTTTCACATAGTAAAAATTAAAAGAATAATTTATATTATATGAAAGCGATACAAGGCAAGCATAGGCGCACATAGGGGGGTGCTTGGGGGTGCTTAGCACCCCCAAGCTTCAAACTAGCACCCTAAGTTTATTTCAGTATTTCACCAATCATTTATAAACTATCGTGGTTTATTGGTTCGGAATTTTTCTTTTCATTACAAATATTGACAACTGTTTACGAATTCACGAATTCATTTTTTTTTTTTTGTCTGTCATCATCTTTTAGGACAGTAAAAGTGCTTGGATTTTCTTCAACAATATCTTTTCTGATAGGAAAGTGAATCTAGTTGGTACTTTGGGGGGGGGGGGGTCAAAAGCAAAAGCGCCGTGAAAAACAAAAGAAAAATTAAGGAAAACCGGGAATTTTTACGCAAAATCTGTTTTCGAGAAAATTGATTTTGGTTTTTGGTGTAACTTTAAAACAAATGACCGTAGATATATGAAATTTTCACTGGTTATTTATATTTCCATTTTCTATACATGATAAAATTTTCTAAATATTTTGAGTTATTTTGAGCTTTTTACGGACATTTTTAGTTTCCATTTTTTTTAGTTTTTTTTTCTATAAGTATCAATAAAATTTTATTTGTTGGGTATAAAAGCTTAAACATTTAATAGAAGGCTCCTAATATATTGTTTCAAAGACAGATGAAAAATATTAAAAATCCTTACTCACAGTTTTTTGTTATAAGCATTTAAATTCCAAATATTAACAAAATACTACAAAATGACCAAAATTTGCAAATTATTTCGAGTTAGAAATTCATAAAAATTTTTCTTTTAAAATCTAAGATATGAAAATGTAATGCAAGATTCCTCATAAGTTTGTCTACCTTTATCAAAAAAAAAAATGTCTACAAGAATCTCAAATTAAATTTTTATCAACGTTTGAAATTCATATTTTTACAACATTTGATATTCACTCGATTTCTCATGTAACGATTTTCTAATTTTGTTGTAATTAAAAAACGAATGACTGTAGATACTTGACAATTTTACTAAATTTTTATATTAGCATTTCCTATACGCCATATAGTTTTCAAAATATTTTGATTCTTTTTGAGCTATTTACGGACATTTTCAGTTTTCAATTTTTTTAATTTTTTTTCTATTCATATCAATAAAATTGTATTTGTATGGTAAAAAATCTTGAAAATTGAATGCAAAGCTCCTGATATATTGTTACATTAACACTTGATAAATATTAAAAATACATAGGCACAATTTTTTTTTATAATTATTTAAGATTCAAATTTTGACAAAATTTATCACATTTAAAATTTAATAATAATTTTATAGTTAAAAATTTATAAAATGTTCAACTTTTATAGCTAATGATTGAAAATTTAAAACACGATTCTACTTAAATAGGTTATATATAAATTGCTTTATTCACCTTAGTATCATTAAATATACTTAGTAATATCATAGGCTGACTTAACCGTCTTCGCTCAGAATCGTTTTTCTTATACAATGATGTTAGTATATCATTGAATTCAAATTTAATACCATAGATTATACAGTGACCCACTTGTACCTTACTGTACAGCAGAGCACCTTTTTTTGTTTATCAAATATAAATAACTTTTATTTTGGTTTTGATATCGGAAATATAAAAACAAAGTTACGGAGTAAATTTTCTCATTTTTCTAGTGTGAACATTTAGTTTTTTAGCTTAGAGTAGAGCCTGAATGTTTTTTATACACGTGCAAAACAGTTTTGCCTATGTTGTACCTATACGTCTGTAATACGAAGACAACACATGTTGGTGTACCTAGCGTCTTCTTTACAATCATACAGACTATTTGATACATTGCACTTTAGAAATTATTGTATACACTGTACAAATTAAATTTAATGCAATGCAGAAATATTAGGATTAGGGGGGTGTGGGGAGCTTTGCCCCCCACGGATCTGTGAACCATAAATTATCCCAGCACCCCCTAAATTAACACCCTATGTGCGCCTATGAAGGCAAGTCATTTATACATGGCAATATTACGAGTCACTTCCGATAAGAAGTAGTTGTAGTTTGTGTATTCTGTAGTAATTGACAAATTATTTAAGCACATTTGGAAATTCAATATCATATTTTAAAATTTTCATTTATGAGACATTCTACTGAAAACTGTTACATTAGTTTACCTAGTTCGATAGGCCTACCAATATCCGAGAAGGTGGGTCTGTTCAGGCTGATCCTTAGCTTTTCCGCCTCAAAGTATATTTAATAATTTTTGACAAATACTTTTCTTGATTTGGCACATCGTTATGATTTATTTAATAGTGTTTGCTCACCGGAGTCTACGCTTTACACTGTTTAACACGCATACTTTTGTACACTTATGTTTTTCTCTGAACGGGTCTTATTTAGAGCTCACGCACGCTAAGCTACCATAAATTAATTTCAGTTAGCCCGACATTTTAATCACACTGTATGATGCAGATGCCATATTTTATGACACACGATATCTACAATAGTAATCACAGTCTTAAATATTACAGATATTAAGTATACGATACTTAGTCAAACATCGTTTTCATAATATCATATGTATAATATTCATTTGTATATTGTAATGATTTATTGGTAGTTTAATATAATTTACTGTAATAATATTGTAAAAATAAATTCATTTTATAAAAAAAAATTTGAAATTTAAAAAAATATTATTATAAATGGGAGAAATGTTATCCGGGAAATTTTTCATTAAATAGGAAAAATACCGGTAACCGTAGTCACTTGTCCTAGGGGTTGTTCGAGTGTTGAACATTAATTGACACCGTCAGCACAGCCATTCTGAGGTTTTACGCCTGCATAATTTTGATATTCAACACATACGCACATAATATATTTACATCTCTGCCGACTAATATTATTGCAATCTCCTAATTACTTTCTACGCAATAAATTAAAATGTAAACTTCAGCTACCAACATTGGTTACGTCGTCGCTGTTTGTTAATCTTTGTACATTGTAGGAACATTACGCCGTGACACTGCACACACGGCTCTCGTGTTTCGTATATTTTGTCTGATTGTTCAGCTCACCGAGAAGTTATTATTATTATTTTAATCTGTTTGTTCGACATTCCTAACCACCTTCCTACCGTGAAATATTCAAAAACATATTATTTTTCACCACCACGATGGCACGATGGTACCGTAAGCTGAAATCATACATTTTGCATAGTGCGTGACACACTTGTGCCAAAAGTCATAGGTAATATTTTAAATTCACCAAATAATATTCGTTGTAAGTTGCGGTATAACAGTCGTTAGGTGTAGAATACCCGTAGAATGTTAAATCATTTGTTATACACATACCTATTCAACTTTAAAGAACCAACAAATAGTCCATGTTATTAATAGGTAGATGTTGTACAAATATCCATATTAATATTATATATTGTCATTTGTTTTTCAATTTTAAAATTGTTTAATGTATTTATTTGTTTTTTTACTATTGATTCATAATATTAAAAACCTGCACTTATTATCAAAAATACTGATACATAATTTTTAAAAGGTCAATAGCCAAATCCCTTCTACTTATTAATATATTTAAATATTAGGTTCAGAAAGTATTCATTATTATAATTTATTTTTTCCGTGTAATTTTTACGACAGTACAACAACTCAATACCCTCGATATTACACTGTACGTTTAAAGATAAAGTATAATTAAATATTAATTGGTGTGTACTTTCGAGAATTAATAATTCAATTTTCGTCAATGGTTATCCCAATCGTAAAAAATAACTGTGTTGATAATAATATATTTTAAAAGTTTCCCAAAACTACTGCAGTAGTTTCTCAAGTTTCTGTCACTGACAAAATCCAATGTCTCAAGGTCTGAGTAATTCTTACAAAACTTGGATTTCTATGGGTGATTTAGATATGTTAACTTTCACATAAAGTTGATTTTAAATATCCGTAAATAAACGATTTAATTGTAAGCATTCTATTGAAGTATAATACATGAGTTTGTTGTTGAATATTTAAATATAAATATATTATATCATATACTATAAGTAATAACTATGTACAGAATAATAACTAATACCTATTATGTTTATTTAAAATCTAATGAAGCATTACACGTTATAATTATAGTAATTTCAATTTCACAAGCATGATAAATAGCTTTTACTATAATAGCCCTGTTTACTATAGTAGATATACTTTACAAATCATAGGTAGGTATTCCAAAATCAGGTCGATGTCAAAACCTGTATTCTTTTTCACGTTTTACACAGTGGTAGATCAAAGTTACCATGGCTACATTTCAAAACTATAAACTCAAAAACGTATTTTATCTCGTTTAGGTTTTATTAAGTTAATTTCATTATCTATGTATATTGTATAGTTTATATCCGTATGATTGTTACTACCGCTTCACCAATGCTTTCTGGTCGGTCTAGTTTACTCATCAAAACTAATTTAATTGACTATTGCTGTGTCAAGTAAGCCGAATAATCACAAATAATATAACGCAGAGGATTCAGAGATATATCCCGGCATGAATATCACGCGTTGTGGTTGAGAGGGGAAAATTAGAGCAACTCGACATCCACCATCCGGAAAATCAGCCTGTGAAAATGTTGTCTGTAATTGAAACGCTTGTCCTCAGCCATTGACACATGTTACTGCGTTGTTAAAACACCCAGAAAACTTGCCGCTAATCATATATGAATAATTTCGATACTAAAACTGTTGTCAGAAGATGAGCGACGAATGGACAATGGACATCAATGATGATCTTTGGGAAATGAGAATAATAAACAGAATTTAAAATGCATAGAAATGCATACCTATCTATAATACTGGACTAATACCGGTCTCGTAGCTTTTATTTTAAATAATTTTAAATAAATTAGTTAATTTCAAGGACAATCAATTTCATCATCAAACGTATGAATCTGCATGCAGTGATGTTTGACACTAAAATTTAAATAATATCATCGTGTTCTTATGAAAACAGTATTTATTTATCCCAATTATTAAGTTGTGTAGCGCAGTAGAAATTAATATGAATTGAAGAATTTTATTGGAAATTGTAGCCCTTATGATGAGAATAGTATTTATTTTTGGAAACGATTTGTGACATTGAATTTGATTGCAGATTAAGGAGGCAATCTAAAAAAAAAAGAATGGCATCTTTTTTTTAGATTTTTAGTGATAAAATATGAAAACTTTGCCTATAATAGAATTTTGTAATACAAGACAAAAATAATAGAATATAACGTAACTATTTGATGAATATAAAATACTATAATATTATTATTATACTCCGTTGACCATTGACCACCGTACACGTATAAGATTGCCTATTACGAGGTTTCGAATTAATTAATAAAACAATTTTTTTTATTTATATTAATATATATTATAATATTCATTTATATTTTTTATTTCATATTTTATGATTTTACCCGAAAATCATAAATATTATTTTATATCAAAGAACGAGACTGTATTAAATGCTTTTCAAAACGCAAAACTTGTTCGTTAAAATAGACATCCCATGAGGATTTGCTAATTTAATGTGACAGTGGGTAATACAGGTTTCGTTATATTATAATTTTAATAAGTATATTATAATATATATTATTTTCAAAGTTGACACCTTATATTACGTTGTTACTATACATTTTAGTGCCAACCTGTTTAACAATCAATTCAATATTTATGTCAGTAAACTAATTTAAGCATAATGTATATAATATACCTAACGTTTATTTTATATTAATCCTTCCTTCACATCATTTTCCATAGTCTCTGATTCCATTGTCCCTTCTTCTAGTGAAATATTTTCCTGTTCTACTTCGTCATCATCATAACACAAGTATTCGAAATCTACGTAGATCAACTCGGAGCGTTTTCCGTGTCTATTATAAAACGCTACTCTGCTCAGGAAATTTGTGATGCTCTGTGGGAAGTTGCAATTTTGAATAGATATGTACATAATATTCAAATTCGTTTTCAACGTTGTGTGTAACGCATTAGCCACTTCCAATGTTAATGGATTGTTATCTATTTCTAAAGCACGTAATCCACGATCATATGCTAATGACTGAGCAATGTTTAATCCTCCGATTTCAGTTATATTACAATTACGAATCCGAAGTTTAGTCAAAGGTTGAACTCCTGATGCTAAAGCAGATGCTAAATATTTGGCACCAATATCACTTATATTGTTCATATCTAAATAAATGTATTATATTCTATGCATATTAATCACATTTGTAAGAGATCATAATTTTTGGTTACATAAATTATGTTTTCGAGTTAATTTATTATTATTTGATTTATGAGTTGTTTTTTTAAAGTTTAAAAAATATAACCTGATTTTACACTAAAGAACAACACATATATCACCAAATTGTATACGTATCAAGTTTAAAACGTTAATATATTTATATGAAATTAAAGTTACTTACCTATGTTTTTAAATTTAAAAATAAAAATTTGAAACTTTTTAGTAAATACGTACTTAAATTTAACTCAATTGCCGGGTAGTTGTTATTTCGCCTCCATAAAATCACAAATGACAAAGATTCTACTCCATCTGGACCGATATTATTACCGCATAAGTTCACCAGCTTTAACATTTTCGCAGTTTTTACAAAATGTGCTACCGATTTCCCACCTAGAGAACTTAGTTTACAAAACGAAAAGTTGATCTCTTCGAGACCATGGCACTTCATTAAATATGGTAGTAGCCTGTTGAATTTTGGCATATTTAATTCACTCTTAGTAATAGCCAGACTTGTCAGGTGTTCCGATATTACCAAGCCACGGCCGAGCGTGTCCATGTCATCAATATTGAACCTGTACTGTTCGGGACTATACATCGGGGGTTTAGTTGTGAATGTCCTAGAACCATAAACCAGGCTTAGGGTCTGAATGTTTTTTAAAATACCCAACACGAAACTTATATCTATGTGAATCGGATCGTGGGGTAAAATTCCCTTAGGTTCATCGATCGCCAATGTGTGTACCATCGAACCTTGGATACGAAGCTGTTGGCAATCTATCGCAGTAACGTATGGGCTGCAAACCATCAATATATCAGAAAGCTCCGTTTCATCGACGTAACCCGGTTCCAAGTTTTCAATAATATCCGATACGTATTTGGTTATGTATACAATTTTGACAGAGACTGCAGGGTTCCTTGTTGATATAACGTCGTTTGGCCATGTACCGACATACCGGCGGCGCCAATATTCATCACCCGGGACGTGGATGACTAAAGCTATCGGTAAACTAGTACTCAGTGTTTCCACGAAGTACTCTGTGTTTATAGGAGTAATCCACTCGAACAACTGATCGGGGTACCATGAAAAATGGTTGGCGATATTATCCAAGCAAAGTAACTTTAACGGTTTTGGCATACAATCAGCCCAGCTAAAGTTCACAGAGCTTATAACCTGTTCGACCTCATTCACCAACAACCGGCAAGAGACAATTTCATCTGATGGAATGAACAGGTGAAAAGTTGTCTTTGGTATTGTATGTGGTATCCACATTGTGTAAATGGTTACTATAAACATTTCACACAAAAAATTGGTTCATATTTAAAATATACATTTGTCTGGAGTAAAAAAAATAAAATAATTAGTAATAAATAAGAACATTTCAATTACCCGATCTTTGGTTTGTATTTCAATTTGATGTTAATGTTGTCTTGGTAATAATGAGTAAGTTATATTTATTAAAAAGAAATAAAATGTATACTATTTTAATAATATACATATTTATTCATACTGAACTCGGTAGGTTAGTATTTTCACTATACTATAGAGTATTATTTTTTTTTTTTTTTTTATTATATTATATCCGCGGCGACTATGGCCATTGGACGACATTAATGCTATACAATACTATACAGGGTTAGAAATTTTTGTATATAGATACATTAAATATGAAGGAGAAGAAAAAAAGAGAAAAAAAAAAAAAAAAAAAAATACAAGAAAGAAAAGACAGTATAACATAATATAACTTAAATTTTGTTGAGAAGTCCTGTGTTGTGTAAAAAAACCAACGTCGTTGTTAGGTTGCTCTGTTCGGGGCTGAGTGATTCGGCTAGCTGGTCCGGAAGGTTCAGTTCCCTCCTTTCGTTTTCATATCTTCGGCATTCTGTAAGGATGTGTTTGACAGTAAGTAGGGAGCCGCATTGGGTGCAGATGGGAGGTTCTTCTCCCTTCATGAGGTGTTGATGGGTGATGTGTGTGTGTCCTATCCTGAGGCGAGTGATGGCTGTCTCCTGTTTCCTGGAGATGTTTGCAGGGAACGGCCAAGGGTATGTGGTTCTTTTGATCTCATGTAACTTGGTTGTCTCAGCTGCCCATTTGTTTTCCCATTGGTTGTGTGCCTCTTTAGCAATGATCCTCTTAACATCCTGGTATGTAAAAACCAGTGACGTAAGGGGGTTGTTGGCTAGGTGGGCCTGTTTGGCAGCCTTGTCAGCGAGTTCATTTCCTCTTATATTACAGTGGCCGGGAATCCACATGAAGGATATTTGTTTACCGGCGAAGGTGGCGGTGGAATGAGCATTATGAATTTTTCTTGCTAAGTCAGTAGGTTTCCACTGGTTCTGGATACTCATGAGAGAGGAAAGGGAGTCGCTAAGGATAATGATTTGTTTGGCTTCAACTTTGTTTGTTGCAAACTCAATAGCTTTTAGGATGGCTAGTGCTTCAGCTGTGTAAATGGAGCATTTGTTTGATAGTTTCCATTGGATATGTGTATCCCCGTGAATGATGGCCATTCCAACCCGATTTACCACGACAGAGGCATCCGTGTATATAAGTGCGTGTTGCTGTTTAGATGAAAGTATTTCCGTGAAGAGATTCCTGTATTGAGTGGAGCTGGTATATTTCTTGGGGAGTTGGTGTAAGTCCAGGATGATGTTCATCGAGATAAGCCACGGAGGGGATATGCTGATTTCAGTAGTCATTATGTTATCAAAATCATATTTTTTATAATTGTTGAAAATGTGGTTAGGGGAGGAATGAAGACCTTGGGGGGAGCGGGCCATTCTGGCTGCGGTTTTGGATGTTAGTTCAGACCATCTTATGTCCAATGGTGGAATGCCGGCAATGCTGAGTATGCTACTAATCGGGCTTGATCTGAACGCACCAATGGAGAGTCGGATCCCTGCGTTATGTATTGATTCCAGTGTTCTAAGGTGAGATGGTTTGGCGGCGGATATTAGAGAAGCTCCGTAATCTATTTTTGAAAGGATGAGTGTTTTGTGGATTTTCAGTAGCATTTGGGTTTGTGCTCCCCACGCTGTATGGGAAAGTGTTTTTATCAGATTAATTCTAGAAAGACATGATTTTCGTATGTGTTGTATGTATGGGCGCCATGAAGCTTTAGAATCGAGGATTACCCCAAGGATTTTGACTTGAGTTTGGTTCTTGATGGTGTGGTTACCCATTTTTATTGCTATGTTTTCCTTTTTTCTTTTCTGGTTGATGAGTATGAGGCTAGTTTTGTTCGACGCAAATCGAAAACCCGCTGTTTTTGACCAGGATTCAAGTTTGTTGGTCGAATCTTGTAGCATTTGTTGAATAGTGTTGCTGTTGGAGCTGCGACATAGGATATTGAAATCGTCAGCATATAAAAGAGGGATGTTGGGGTTGCGTATTCCTTCGGAGATATCATTGATGGCTATTAGGAATAGCGTCACTGAAATGGTGGAACCTTGTGGTACACCGTTCTCTTGTGTAAATATGTCGGATAGGGTGTTTGAGGTTTTTACCTGAAACGTCCGGGTGCCGAGGAAGTTATTTATGAAGTCTAACATGTTACCTTTAGTTAGAATTTTGTTGAGCTTGTGGATTATTCTGGGTCTCCAAGCTGAGTCATATGCCTTAGCAATGTCAAAACTGATCAATCCTAAACTTTGTTTATACTTTAGAGCTGTTTGGATTTCATTTTTAATGTTTAAAATATTCTTAGTAGTGCTTCGATCGCGTCTGAAACCGTTTTGTTCGGGAGTGAGGTAGTTAGATTTTTCCAGGTGCCACATTAGACGATTGTTAATCATTTTCTCGAGTAATTTACATAGCGTATTTAAAAGACATATAGGGCGGTAGCTAGGTAAAAACTTGTTTTTGTCGGGTTTTAAAATAGGGATGACGAGGCCATGTCTCCATGTGTTGGGGAAACAATTATTGTTCCAAATTGAATTGTATATTGATATTAAATGGGTCCTTGCGTTCGCTGGGAGGTTTTGTACAAATAGGTAGGGGATTCCGTCAGGGCCGGGGCTTTTGCTTTTGCAATTACGGAGAGCTTCCTCCAATTCTGTGATGAGTAGAGGTGAGTTGAGGTAGGTTTGAACATTATTATGGGGATCTACTGTGTTCGATGGGTTGTTGTATATGTTTGCCTTGGATAAGAATTCCTGATCGTAGATGGATTTACTAGAATTCTCTTGAAACATTTGTCCCAGGGTGTTGGCGACTTCTTTAGGAGATGTTGTGATGTTAGAGTCCGTGAGGAAGTGGATATTGTTTCTGTTGGTACCTCTAATAGATTTGATTTTTTTCCATACAATTGAGGAGTCAGTTTGGTTATCGATGCTGGACACATATAGTTTCCACGATAAAGATTTGCTGCTCTTAACCAGATATCTGGTTAGGGCTCTTGTCCTTTTTAAACTGATGAAGTCCACTTGCGATCGGGAGATTTGGAATTTCTTGAGAGCTTTATTTTTGTTTTGGATAGCTTTTTTTATTTCTTCATTCCACCATGGGACGCGAGGTCTTGGGGAGCTGCTCTTAGACTTACCTATTGTGATTAAGGCTGCTTCTGTTATAATGTCAGTAAATTCTTTTACGTCTGCATCTATATTTTCTGGTGATGGGGTGGGGAGGCTTTCGGTTTTTTTTTCTATTAGAGATGAGAAAAGATCCCAATTGGCTTTCCTGATAGACCATCTAGATGGATAAACTAGGTGTGTGTCGTCGAGTGGGTGGTTGATGGATATTTGAATGGGGATGTGATCACTGCTATTGATGGTATAAGGTAGAGTGCACCACTCTAATTTATGCGCGAGAGAAGTGTTTGCGATGGAGAGGTCAATTGCGGATGATAGTTCGTTGATAGGGTTGATTCTTGTAGGTTGTCCGTTGTTGAGAAGCATTAGATTTTCGTTATTAAGTAATTCATCGATGATTTTCCCTCTGCGATCCGATTTGTAGGATCCCCAGGTCTCGCTGTGACTATTGAAATCGCCAACTATAATGAACGAATTGGGCAGTTGTTTTATGATACGTTCGATGTCATCTAGGCAGAAATCTCTGTTGTTTGGGATATATATGTTACATATGGTTAGTTTTGTATGAGGCAGATTGACTGAAACGGCTATTGCTTCGAAATCAGTGATTAAAGGGAGTTCGACACTGGGGAAATCTTTGTTGATCATTATTGCGACGCCACCGCTGGCTCTGATACACGAGAAGCGATTGCGTTTATAGATATCGTAGTGCGTAAATTTGGGATTGCTTTTCTCGTTAAAATTGGTTTCTTGAATGCATATTATTGCGGGGTTCAGTTCTTTGGTTAGTATCTGGAGCTCTTCAAGTCTACTGAAGAACCCGTTGATGTTCCATTGAATTATATTTGTTTTCATTTGAATTGTATAGGAGGTTTGAAGGTGCTTGATGTGAGAAATGATAGTGGTTGAATTAGTTGGGAGGAAGGGTCTTAAACAATAAGTTGGATAAAATTTTTATTTTGGACTTCATTGCACGATCTGTAATTAGAGGGTATATTTTTTCCGTCAAGTCGAGCATGTCCGAGATGTTGGAATTAATTTCGTCGCATAATGTGTATATATTAATATTAGGGTTTCTAATATTTTCCAAAAAGTATTTAAATTGGTCCAGGGTGATTGAAGTATTCTCACTGTCGCTGAAAAAGGCGACTGTAGGTTCAAGCGAGGTGTTGATTTTGTTGTCGTCGGTGGAAGTGAGAGAGTTGGATCTAGAGCGGCTGGTTTTGGCTTTTTTTTTTTTCCGGTTGAATGAAAGGCATAGGGCTGCCTGGTGCTGTAGGGGAGGTGGGAGATTTAATTGTATTTGTATCCGATAGAGGTCTTTTGGCTTGAGTGGTGATTGGTGTTTTCATTGTTACATGGGATGTTTTAGTATTTGCTACGGGTTGGGATGAAATTATATCATTGTTTTCCTGATTCCAGTCCATGGTACTTTGTGGTTGGGTTGTGTCTATTGGAGGTAATTCAGGAAGCTGAATATCTTCTAGTAGTTCTGTAGTATGATCATCAACGGTTGCAATTGGGCTGTTATGAGAAATTTGTTTTTTACATGACGCAGAAGTGTGACCCACCTCTTTGCATAGGAAACAAGTGATTCTGTCGTCAGTAAAAAAGATTCTAAATGAGGTTTGGTTAAAGTTAATAACTAACGACCCAGGTAGTTTGGTGATATCTTCTTGATTTATAAACATTTGGCGGCGGAAACTCAGGATATGTTCGTATCCCGCAATATTGATGCCG